TTATTATTATTGATTTCAGAGAGGAAGGGAGAGGGAGAAAGATAGAAACATCAATGATAATAGAGAATTATTAACCAGCTGCCTCCTACATGCCCCCTACTGGGGATTGAGCCCGCAGCCCGGGCATGTGCCCTTGACCAGAATCGAACCTGGGACCCTTTGGTCTGCAGGCTAATGCTCTATCCACTGAACCAAACCAGCTAGGGCCCATCAGTGTACTTTTGAAGGGAGAGGGAGAAAGATAGAAACATCAATGATAATAGAGAATTATTAACCAGCTGCCTCCTACATGCCCCCTACTGGGGATTGAGCCCGCAGCCCGGGCATGTGCCCTTGACCAGAATCGAACCTGGGACCCTTTGGTCTGCAGGCTAATGCTCTATCCACTGAACCAAACCAGCTAGGGCCCATCAGTGTACTTTTAGTTAGGAGTTAGGTACCCTGGCATTTGAAGGTTATACATCCTGTAGAACAGGTCATTGCCCTTACCCAAGGCCAGCCTTGCCACCCTCAGGGTGGGTCCACCTGGCAAGAAGATATCTGGCCCATCTCATCTAGCTGAGACTCTGACTTCAACTGGCTACTTGGCTTTTGCCCACTATGGAACCACCTGGGCCTCATTTTCTCATCTGTAGAAGGCAGGAGTTGCTCCCACAACCTCAGTGCCCTTCCAGCTATGATCTCCTGAGCTTCTGTTTTAGGGGAATGCTAGCCAGCACCTATGTGAACAGAGAACCAATGAGTAGGCTCAAGAAGCTGTGGGCTTGCTGGCAGGGTGACCAAAAGAGCCAGCATTTGGGCAGTGAGGACAAAGTGGGCAGGGAACCTCCTTGCTCACTCCTACCAGGCCTTGCAGTGAGCTGGTGTGGGCAGTTCTGCCATCTGGTCAACCAGACTTATTCAGAGAATGAAATCCACTTTATCCAAAGAATCCAGCAGTCAGTCTTTACTGCCAAGTAAATTAAAGACCTTATACAAATGGGAAGACTCACCACTGAATATACTTGTACTTTAGGTTGCATCTGTATTGTAGAGAAACTTGAGTATGCCACAAAGTATGTGGTCCTTAGGGGCAGAAATTTTCCTCTTGAGCTTCAGTTCCCCCATTTCTCTAGGGTGATTTCTGAGCAACATATAATTTTGTTTTGGAGTGAGGATCCTAATTTGGGGGGACAACTCCCCTTCTGTCCTTCATGTTTCCTAGGGAAGTGTCCGACAGGGTGGCACCACTATGAAGGCACGGCCAGCTGCTACAGGGTCTACCTGAGTGGAGAGAACTACTGGGACGCTGCACAGACCTGCCAGCGCGTCAATGGCTCCCTTGCCACCTTCTCCACCGACCAGGAGCTGCGTTTCGTCCTGTCCCAAGAATGGGACCAGCCAGAGCGGAGTTTCGCTTGGCAGGACCAGCACAAGTGAGTACTGGGTGGGAACCCAGGGGCCAGAGTTCAGGCCAGTGCCCACCAAGCACATGGCCTCTTGGCCGCCGTGGCAGTCCTAAGGCATAGCCAGCAGCTGGCATTTTTGGGAAGAGCAGCTCCACCCACTGGAAATGGAGATTCAGTGGTTTAAAATGGGCATTGAGGGGGGGGGGGGGGGGGGATCTTGGAAGGGCAGAGATGGGTTGCCACCTTGGGCCAGTCTTTTTTGTTGGTCCTCTGTAGGTTCAGCTGCATCTGCTGACCTGTTAGGGGACCCAGCCTGTGTCAGGAGGGGCTGCTCAGTGTGGGCTTTTCTAGGCCCAGCACAAGGGGTGCACAGGTGGGTGGTAGTTCCTTCCAAGAAAACGGGCTTTGCCAGGCCCGCTGCTCAGTGCTTTCAATGGGCTCGATCACTCAGTCCTCCCAGAAACCACAGGAGACCAGTGGGCAAGAAGACTGAGGCCCAGGTGGACAAGCATGTGACCACAGGCACACACTAGCTGTGGGGTGTGTCTGGGTTCCAGCCCATGCAGTCTAACTCCAGAACCTGGCTCCTGACCCCAGGCTCTGTAGCACTGAAGAGAAAGTGTGGGAACTGGCCAACTGCCAGCATCTCCCAGGCCCCCGGGTTGTGGGGGCAGGCGTGTGCTATGACCTGTGGTGTGTGGCTTCATGCTGCCCCATCCACACTGCTGGGGGCAAGAGTGTGAATTGCAGAGCTTGCCAGACTGCCAGTACTCCCTCCCAGCAATGGCACAAACTGCCATATAAACAAGAGGACCATGTCAAGTGGACAGAGAGCCTTTATTCTAAGACCTGAGCTGGGTTTTGGGCTCTACCATCATATCCCGTGACATTGGCAAATCATGATACCATGCTGTTTTTTCTTCTGCAGCTACCAAGTGAGAAAAATAATTCCTAGTTCACAGGGTGGTTGTAAGTTCATGGAAAAGCGAGAGGGTTCAGTCCAGTAGGTAGGGAAGCACCCTGTCTCCTTCAGGTGGGCGTGTGCATGGCAGTAGGCTGGAGGGGCAGAGTGGCACAATGCCATGGCTCCCCCAGTGGTGGGACTTGCGGAAGGCATCTCCAGGGCTGGACTGGAAGGCTTGGATGAGGGGCACACACTCAACAAGTGGCTGTGGCAGTCGACCAGGTTCACGTGCACCGCCCCCTCAGTGCTGTGACTTGTGTTCTGGGCAGGCCTGGGCGAGCTGGCTCTGAGCACGTGACCAAGCTGGAGGCTGTGAGCATGCTTTTACCCACCCCTGCAGTGTATACTTACTGGTGTTTGGTTTTTATTGAGATTAATTCACATGCCATAAAATTCACTCCTTTAAAGTACTGTTCTGTGCCTGGTGGTCTGTGAGGTCCGAAAGGTTGGCGACCGCTGCTTTAGTGTATTCACAGGGCTCTATGTCCATCGCAGATAAGGTTGGTCTTGCTTAGAATTTGAAAGGCTTTTTGTGTTTTTGTTTTGTTTTTAATATATTTTTTATTGATTTCAGAGAGGAAGGGAGAGGGAGAGAGAGATAGAAGCATCAGTGATGAGAGAGAATCATTGATTGGCTGCCTCCTGCACCCACCCAACACCGGGGCATGACCCTGACCGGGAATCAAACTGTGTCCACTGGTTTATAGGTCGACGCTCAACCACTGAGCCACACTGGCCGGGCTGAAAGCTTTCTTGGATCAATAAGACAGTCTTGGAAGGAGTCACTCAAGATAAAACTTTTTCTGACCTGTGAATTTATTCTTTAGAATTTTAATGTATTTTATTAAAAGTAAGTATTTAAAAACTTTAAAAAGTCATTAGCATTTTAGAGTCTCAGTACTTTAATGGTCAGTGTAACTATTAAAATACACTCATGCACAATCAATGGCTGCTTTCCTGCTGCCATGCTAAGGTTCCTTGCATTTCTGCCCTCTCGCAGGTTGTGGGTTGGCTACCAGTATGTCGTCACCAGCCGGAACAGCTCCTTAGAAGGCCACTGGGAGGTAGCATTCAAAGGTAAACCTTTCTGGGCCCTGGCCGGGTAGTTCAGTTGGTTAGAGTGTTGTCCCAAAATGCCAAGGTTGCAGGTCTGGTCCTCAATCAAGACATAAGTATCAACCAGTGAATCCATAAATAAGTAGAATAATTTGATGTTTCTCTCCCTTTTTCTCTCTAAAAATCAGTAAATTTAAATAAAAAGGAAAAAGGGTAAGCCTCTTCTGAAAAGAGTTGTTGAGTATGAAATGGAGGTATACCATCCTGAACAGGGTATATTACTAGGATCTCCTCTCCTTCCCCCACCCCCTATCATCAATGGTGCCTAGCCTGTTAGGGGTACCTGATACAGGGGACATGGAGAGGAATGGGCCCAGGGAGGGCTCTGGTGACCAGCAGGCCCTCTTCCAGGCTGGGGTCTTTTCTGGAACACATGGTTGCTTCTTACTTGGCCAGATTTTTAGACTCACCGTCCTCCTTTTACAGGTAAGGACTTTAATTAGGGCATAAAAATGAGCATACAAAGTGTGCAGCTGGCATGAGTCAGGGAGGGAAGTTCAAGCTTTCTAGGACAGAGAAGTTCGGAAATCCAAAACTTGAAGGAAAGCTGTCAGGCAGATAGAATTAAAATAGAGGAGTTTGCTGGAGCCAGAGACATAGGGATCCTCTCTGACTCCTCTCATACTTCACCCCCTTTCAAACGTGTCCAAAATCTCATCACTTGTTGTCAGATTGCAGCCACCAGATCTGCCATTAGTCACCTAAATTACTGCAGCCACCGCTGCCAGCCTGGTCTCCTTGCTCCCACCCCCACCCAGCCCAGTCTCCTCACATGGTTGTGCGAGAGTCCTCTACTCCTCTGCCCCAGCTGTTTATGACTCTCCTCCCACAAAGACACTGTCCTCACTGAGGCCTGGAGTGCCCTTTCCCTCTGCCATCCCCTTCCACCACTCTCCTGGCCCTCCTTTTCAGCCACAAGGATGCCTGCTCTTCTCACCTTCTCTTCCCTTGGGTCACCCTTGTTCCCATTGAAGCCCTCCCCGGGCCACTGCTTCCTGGCTCAGGCTTATGCCAGTGTAGGGCAGGAGAAGGCAGTGTAGCCAGGCTGGCCCTGGCTAGTGTCTGGGACCGGCTTGGGGATTAAATGGAGCCTGCTGTGCCAGGCTGCCTAGATGGCACAAACAGGGATTTACGGTGAACACCTGCTTCCCTGGCAAGTCTGGAATTGCGGTGGACCGGAGGTCAGCACCCAGGCTTTACTTAGCAGAAATGTATTGCAGGGCTGCTGGCAGTGGCCCACTCCATGGCACCTTCCTGCTTGGAGGATGAGGAAGCCTGGCCTGGATTATTCCAGACTCCACCTGAACTGTCCCTCCCTTGCTGCTGGTGTATCTTGTTGCATCGCTGTAATAAATCTTAGCCATGACTATGGCTAGATGCAGGGTCCCTTGAGTCCCAGCAAAACAGTGAGCCTGTGGGTGGCGAGAGACCCACTGAACCCAAGCAGTCAGAAATGTCAGTGTAGCCCTCTTCCTCCATTCTCTGTTCTGAGGCTTGCCTTCACCTCTGTGCTGCAGCTTTCTTTTTGCTATAGCAGCCATGACCCTCCGACATGTGTACTTCACTTACACTGTTGTTCAGAATCTGTCTTCACTGTTTACTACCCGCCCCCCCTCAAATGTCAGCTCCAAAAGGCAAGTAGTTGTTGCACAGTGTCACCTGAGTGCCTGTTTACAGGAGTAGGGCTTGCTAATATTTGTTATATCTGAGGGAGAATAATCAGGAGACTGTGCTAGATTCATGGGACTTAGAAAAGAGGCTTAGAGGTTCATGGCCCCCTCCCTAACACCCCTGCACCCCCACCCTGGGGTGCAGTGGTAGCGTGGTTTTTGATCGCCTGATTTCCAACTTGAAATGTAATAGCTGAGTGGATTACAGACAGTCTCTCTGGAGCTGGGAGTGGGTCCCAGGGAGCCTTCCAGGAGTTCACCAGGCCAACTGGTGCTCCTAGTGGGTGTAGGGGCCACGTTTCTGCCTAAATTATGCATTCATGGCAGAAGCAATGGGCTCCTTCTTGAGTCCTCTATCAGTTAAAACTCTATTGTAAAGGAGAACTTTCCCCTCCCCTATTTATTTATTTGTTCATTTTATCCATATGAACTTACACATTTTCATTATTGTCTTATAACCCATTGCTTCACTCTTCATGTTGTTGTTCTGCCTTTAAACATCCCCATCTTAGTATGGTCCTCCTCTGGCGCTCAGCCCAGTAGGGTTTGTTCGTGTGCTTGCCTCCCTGGCCTACGGAGCATGGCCCCCATCGCCCAGTGCTGAAACCTGCTCTCCGTGGAGCTAAGGGAGGTTGTGAATTAATGCCATAACTGCAGCACAGCTCCATTTGGTGGTTCATGAGCTCTTTGATCGATGGTTCACTTTAGGGCAGGCCTCGGTCGCTGTGAAGACTGCACATGGTTGGGATGTGACATTGTTGACATTATGTTGTAATGGTCAGCCTTCCCTTTTGTCTCCCTATAGGTTCCTCAGAGGTTTTCCTACCCCCAGACCCCATCTTTGCCTCGGCCATGTCTGAAAGTGACAATGTGTTCTGCGCCCAGCTGCAATGCTTCCACTTCCCCACTCTCCGCAACCATGACCTGCACAGCTGGCATGCGGAGAACTGCTACGAGAAGTCTTCGTTTCTCTGTAAAAGAAGTAAGCCACCTTGAACTTGACTCCTTTAGTGAGCTGGAAAGAATGTGCTTCTTGTGAGAATGTGGCTTTCTAATTTCTGGACCTTGATTGATGTCAACTGTGAGTGGACTTACCCATTTTATAGTAGGCAGCAGGCACGCTGTGCCTGACTCACACCTTACTCTGAAGGTGCACAGGTGCCTTGGGGATGAGGGCTAGAGCCTAGGCTGGGACCCAGGGCTGGTATGAGCCTGACTGGCCTGCTACTTAGTTCTGTGACCTAGGCAGCAATGGCCATTTCTGGCCCTCGTTTCTCTTTTCCCAGGATAGAGGTGATAAATCCTTCCCTCCCCACCTGGATGTTAGTAAACTAAATGAGAATGGTGACAGGACTTGCCAGATACTGTGGTGTCTAGGTGCCTCTGACTCCTTTGCTCACCTCCCCCTCCTCTCCTGGGGTCTTTGTGAGACCCCTCACTCTGCTTCTCTGTCCTGTCTGGACCGCTTCCCCTCTTCAGCTGGTCCCTATGCCAGTTCTCTCACCCACATTCCACATCAAGGTCCAAATATTTTCCAGCTTTGGGGGCTAGCAGTGTGGTCGGGCTGACCGAAGGCAGGGCTCCCTTGCCTCACCCAGTCCCCTCTGCCATGAATGGAGGATGGAATCGTGCCCAGATGCAACCTGGGAGGCAAGGGCAGGTCATCATTCAGTTTCTGTCTGCTTAGAGATTTTCCTGTTATTGATTTCTAGTTTGATTTCATTATGGTCAGAGAATAACTTCTATGTGATAAGTTATTTAAATTTGTTGAGATATATTTTATGCCTCCAGGTTACTGTCTGTCTTGGTGAATGTTCCATGGATGCTTCAGAAAAATGTGGCTTCTGCTGTTGGGTGGGGAGTGAAAGAGTGAGAGCAAGTGTGTGTGAGTGTGTGTGTATTAGATTCTATTGATTGACTGTGGTGTTCAAATATTCTATATCTTTGCCAACATTCTGTCTAGGAGTTCTATCAATTGTTGAGAGGGAAGTGTTGAAGTCCACAAGTAGAATTGTGAAATTGTCTATTTCTCCTTTGAGTTCTATTGGTTTTTATTTCACAAGCTGTCCTTTTGACATGTTCCTATCATTCAGGTTAATTTTGTACTCTGTGGAATTAGCCTTTTCTCCAAGGGGAGGACCTATGCACTTATTATGCTCATTGCTTTTACATCTCAGTGGACAGAGCTAAGATGTGTGTGTGTGTGCATGCATGCGTGTGCACGTGTGTGTATACATATGTCTTGGGTACAGATTTTTCATATTGATTTAGTTCCTTTAATGATTAAAGAAATCATTTAAATGTATTCAAGTGTTCTAGTTATATTTTAGTTTGTTTTGGTAAATCATATTCATCTAGGGCAGTGGTTCTCAACCTTCTGGCCCTTTACAGTTCCTCATGTTGTGACCCAACCATAAAATTATTTTCGTTGCTACTTCATAACTGTAATATTGCTACTGTTATGAATCGTAATGTAAATATCTGATATGCAGAATGGTCTTAGGCGACCCCTGTGAAAGGGTCGTTAGACCGCCAAAGGGGTCGCCACCCACAGGTTGAGAACCGCTGATCTAGGGCATTGCCCATGCAATATAAAATTTCTAACTCATTGCTACAAACTTATGTTAGCATTCTCTTTGCATTTTTGAGGCATTTATATGCCTATCATTATGACCTCCTTTTGACTTATTATTTATACTTCCTTCCGTATTGCTCAGTCTTTTTTTTTTTTTTTTTTTAATATTTTTTTAATTTTTTTCACAGAGAGGAAGGGAGAGGGATAGAGAGAAACATCGATGCGAGAGAAACATCGATCAGCTGCCTCCTGCACACTCCCTACTGGGGATATGCCCGCAACCAAGGTATATTCTCTTGACCGGAATCGAACCTTGGACCCTTCAGTCGGCAGGGTGACGCTCTATCCACTGAGCCAAACCAGCTAGGGCTTAGGTATTGTAAAAGCAGACACTTCCATGGGCTTTCCCCTGGAATCTGGCACTCTCCTCTGTTCTAGCTGTCTAGGTTTGCAGCTAGGTGTGCCCTGGCCAGGTGCGCTTTGTCCTAACAGAGTGCTGTAGTGACCTATTTTTTTTTTTAATATATTTTATTGATTTTTTACAGAGAGGAAGGGAGAGGGATAGAGAGTTAGAAACATCGATGCAAGAGAAACATTGATCGGCTGCCTCCTACACACCCCCTACTGGGGATGTGCCCGCAACCAGGGTACATGCCCTTGACCAGAATTGAACCTGAGACCCTTCAGTCTGCAGGCCGACGCTCTATCCACTGAGCCAAACCAGTCAGAGCTGTAGTGACCTCTCTTGAACAGTACTCACAGGAAGTGGTTCTCAGGTTGATCTTGCCAACTCCTCTGTTGTTGTTTGTGGGGAGACTCGGAGCTGGTTCTGCTGGTAACATACATTTGTGTTTGTGTGTGTCTGTTGCAGGTCAGACATGTGTTGACATCAAGGACAATGTGGTGGATGAAGGGCTCTACTTCACCCCCAAAGGAAATGACCCATGCCTGAGCTGCACCTGCCATGGAGGGGAGCCAGAGATGTGCGTGGCTGCCCTCTGCGAACGGCCCCAGGGCTGTCAGCAGTATCGCAAGGACCCCAAGGAGTGCTGCAAGTTCATGTGTCTGGACCCAGGTGAGACTGATGCTGGGTCACAAGTCAGCTTCCCCATTCAAGGCCAGAGGCTACATGGCCCGTTACTTCCTCAGTGGCAGGGGCTTGTGAGAGGTGAGAGTCCACAACACATGGCATAGCAGCGATGGCAGCATTTGCCCACAGAGCTGTCTCACAGGCTTTGATGGGCAAATACTCTAATGAACATGTGTGTCTCACACAACCTGGCCTCCTCTAACTGCTATCTCTCAGGTTGGCTCATTTTAGCTCTTGGGTTACAAGTATTCACTGAAGAACTTGAACTTGAGTGTGGCTGTATGTTCACAAATCAACTGTAATTGATGACTTCAGAACTATCTCCTCTCCTTTTAAGACTAAGAGCAAGACTTCCAACTTATATCCCAGTTTGAGCTCTTCCTGTTTTCTGACTGTGGTGATGTGGTGGGTAGTGACAGTTTTCATTACTTAACAGTAATCAATTTTTGCTGTTAGAATCTTTAAGAAAAAGATTAAATATAAAACTCCTCACTAGGTGGCGCTTTGCAGGTGGACACTATGCAACCGTGTGATCTCTGGGTGATATTTCTTCCACTTTAAAAAAAGACCAGCAGGTGGGGCTCCTGCTCTGTAAGACCATTAAGACATTAAAGTTCATATAATATACTGGATGGTTCACCACACCAGTGCAGTTGAAGTCTCTGTATGAATTCACAATCTCAGGAGAAATGTAAACAGAAAGCATAAATTTGTTTTCTGTCTTGGCTGCCACAGTACGAGAGTGACGTGGGCAGAGACTTGTGAAAGGCCCTGGACTCAGAGGCCCAGAAAAGCAGCTTGGTGGGCGCAGTAGCTCTCCATCCCCTGGGCCCCCATGGATGAAAGGCTGGTTCACCTAGTGCTAGTGGGAACTGGAGCTGGCACATGAGAGCCACAACAGCAAGTGTTCCAGAGAGCTGTCTGTGTTGCAGAGAGTTGTCAGGAAGGCTGCTGGCAAGAGGGCAGATCAGTGTCAGAAGCTACTTAAGGCTCAGCAAAAGGGGCTACTGTGGCCCGTATCCCATCAAAGGTGCACAGTTGGCTGTGGAGAGTGCAGACACCATGTATGACCAGTTGTAGGTATACAAGAATGACCAGTCTGTGGGCTGAGTGGCTTGTGAAGCCAGCCCAGCCCTGAAGACTTCTCAGGAGACCAGGGCCCTCAGGACATCTGGGTAGTCCCAGAGCTACTGCAGGCCACTCCTGTGTAGCCAGAACAGCATAGCCAGGGCCTTTCCCTGCCCCTTGCCTCAGCCTTGCTTCTGCAGGCTCCTGACAGCCTTCCAGGTCAAGTGCCTTCTCCTGGGAAGTGTCCACACTTCCCCAAGGATAGAGGTACTGCCACCAAAACTGGAGATGCTTGGAAAGTGTCCCTTTTAACAAGGCAAGAGTGTCTGCTCTCACACTCTGTTCAGGGTTGTATAGGGTATCAGGGCACATGCCCAGTTGTGGGCTTGATCCCCAGTAGGGGATGTGTAGGACGCAGCCGATCAGTGATTCTCTCTCATCACTGATGTTTCTTTCTCTATCTCTCCCTTCCTCACTAAAAACAATTAAAAAATATATTTTTAAATAAAATACATACTTAGAATAATAATAATAATAATGCTAGGCTGGCCTGGTCAGTGTGGCTTAGTTGGTTGAGTGTCGTACCATGCACCCAGGAGTTGGGGACTGGGCATTGGCAGTCGTGGGGATAGGGCTGGCACAGAGCCAACGGCTGGGCTGTAAAGACGTGCACATGTGGTAAGCGAAGAGACACCACCGTGGCATTCTCTCATGTTCTGAGGCAGCTTTGTGGCGTGGGAAGCAAGCATTGGCTTGGTGATGTTGGGCCAGTTACCTGAGTGTGTTCCTCCCAGGGCTGTGCAACAAAGAAGGGATTGCAGGAGCCTTGCCCATTGCCTGGCCTGCCCCTGCCTCAGTTCCCATTCAGGGCACATACCTGGGTTGCTGGCTAGATCCCCAATAAGGGAGGTGCAGGAGACAGCCAAACGATGTTTCTCTCTCATCGATGTTTCTGTCTCACTCTCACTCTCCTTCCCTCTCTCTCTGAAGTTAGTAAAAACAAATTTTTAAAAAAGAATGCTAGGATGGAGGGTGAGGCCAGCGCCCTCCACGGAGATGTTGCCTGGGCCCTGAGACCCCACTGCCTCTGCCCAAAGATTTTGGGTACAGTCCAGACTCCAGCTCTGCTGAAACTGTTGTGGAACACCAGGTCCTCCATCATGGAGCTGGCGAACAGCAGGGACATGACCTCAGCCTCGCTTAAGCAGGGACTATGGCCCAGGGTAGAGATGATCAGGGTGAGCAGATCAGCCGCTCATCTCAGGTTTATCCCTGTGTGAGGACTTGCTCCCAGTGTGTCTCTCCTTCCTGTCCTCTAGATCAGTGGTCGCCAACTGGTGGTCCGTGAGGTCCGAAAGATTGGCAACTGCTGTTTTAAGGAAACCTTTGGAGCAGTGGTCGCCAACTGGTGGTCCACCGACCACTGGTGGTCCATGAGGTCCGAAAGATTGGCGACTGCTGCTCTAGATCACGAGTGCCAAAATCGAGCCTTTGGCACTGCTGAACACACTTTGATGTATCCAGGGTTCCCCACCAACAGAGAGGGTTAGTAGAAGTAGGGTATGGGGAGGTCAAGAATTAGAACAGCCACTGATGGACAAGAGAAGGGGAGGGGCTGTAAACAGGGATTCTGAGGGCCCAGTAGAGGCCACATCCTCACTCTCCTCCCTGATCACGGGCCTCCACGTTGAGCACTGCTGGGTATTGGAGAGGAGCAAAGAACTCTGGGAGCACCCTGATGGGGCTGGAGCCCAGGTCTGAACTGGGGCCAGGCACATTGCCCCACTGAGCCTCAGTTCCCTCTGTATAGGGACATTTCTCCTCCTCTGTAGGGTTGTGAGAAATGAGGGAGGTGCTGGGTGCTGCGGTTTCCTGCCCTTGCTCTCTGAAGCAGTCTGGCTTAGACCATGAGTGTGGGCCTCCTGCTAGGAGAAGGAATCAGCAAATGCCCGTGGACATAAGGCAACTTAGAGAGTGCGGCTCACCCTCAGTCCAATTTGCCTGCAGTCCTGTTCTGTTTGGCACCTCCTATCAAGCTCCTGTGTGGCTTCCAGGAGCTCACACCCAGCAATACAGATGAGTGGGCACGCGGGCCTCTGGGGAAGACTGAGGGAGGCACAAGCCCCCTCTCCTGACCAGGGAGATGGGCTCCCATGACACCTGATGCAAGCGGGGGGAGCGGGGGCGGGTTGCATTGCCCATCTCATATGAAAAAACTTTTCCTGGTCATGAGCTGCTTCTCTCCTGTGGTGTTATTATAGTACTAGTGACCCAGTGCACAGATTCATGCACATTGAAATGGTATTAATTAGAAGGTGGCTGGTGGGGTGGGACTGGGTGAGACAGGCTGGACACGCCCTGGAGCCAACCTCCCGCGGTCCCTCCCCAGCGTCTGCGGAGTAAGTGGGGTCCCTCTGACAGGTGGGGTCCCTCGGCCTGGCCTGTGGGGATCGGGCTGAAACCGGCTCTCCAACATCCCCCAAGGGGTTCCAGAGTGCGAGAGGGCACTCTGCAAAGTTGCTGTCGTACAGGGTGTGGAACGCAAACGCAAGTGTGCAGTAAACCAGATTCGGGGCCAACAGTGCCTCAGCAACAACATAACCCACGGCCGAAGGTGGAATCACACGGCCCCGCGAGGAATCAGGTTCCCTCCTTTCTGGTTTCGGGGTGCGTCACCCAAGAACCGCCGCTGCCAGGTCACTGCAGCTTGGCAGCTCCTGCATTGAGTGTCTGCCCCCTGGTGGTCATTGTGTGTCATAGCAATGGTTGGATGGTT